CCCCCCGGGGACCCCTCTGCCCCCCCGAGCCCCTCACGGGGACGTGGGCACGGAGGGTCCGGGGCTGCGGTGGGGACAACGCGCCGGGCGGCGGGAGGCTCCTCATGCCTCTGCCATCGTCTCTGGGGCTCTGGGGGGCACTTCCCAACGCGTCGGGACCGGGGAAGCTCCGCCGTTTCTGATGATGCCAACGGGCAGCGCGGTGCTGTGGGCAGCGCAGAGGATTCCAGCGGCTGATGGCGGAGCTCTGGCCCCTCTGGCTCCCTCCCTTTGGAAATACTGTGTCCACAGTTGACTGACGCCGTCGCATAACGGGCAGCGTCAAGGAACGGCCACAGCCCCGTTTTGCAAACCCCCTTTCCCCCGCTCCCTCTGCCCACTCCTCACCCCGAGCCCTCTCGGGGCGGGACGCAGCCCACCCACCGGGGACAGCCCCCGTGGGCCGGGGCGGCGAGGACACAGTGGGTGCCGTCGCGAATGCACCACTGCAGTTGGTCGAAGGGGACCAAATCCAGTCGCATACCTGTCCAAGGCGCTGCCCGTACGGTCCCACGGTGGCCCTGACCATGCCAGAGCAAGGGGACATGGGTGTTAAAGGGCAAGGTGGTGCCTGGGACACAGCCTCTGCACCCATCACAGGGTGCTCAGGCGGGTGATGCATCCGCCACCCGGTATTATGTGGAGAGTGTCTGTTTTGATGGAGACTTAATGTAGCATTATTATTGTTATTGCACTGCCGACAGTTTCCTACCACCATTTGAGGGGAGCTGTGTTCGCACGGGGATAGCCGCTGTTCACTGCAGGAGACAGGAAAAGCTGCAAACAGCATCAAGAACGATGCTGTGTGAACTGCAGAAGCCACCGGGAAATACTGTGTCCACAGTTGACTAACACCGTCACCTAATGCATTTCTTTATTTAGGAACTGATTCGAGAGAGTACAGTAAGTGAAACGCAGCTGGTTGCCAGGGAGAGCCCTGCTGGCCCGTGCGTGGGACACAGTGCGGGGCACAGTGCGGGGACAAACTGCCTTGTTCATAGCAAAGCCCTCTGCAGCCTTGCCAGGGGCTCAGCTTCCCGGGGCAGAGAGCGCTGGAGTGAACAAACGGCCAGTTTGGCTCTCTTCCTGGAGCACTGCAAATCCCGAGGCGCTTGGCCTCAGTTTTAGTTAGCATAAAGTTGTTTGCTTAGAATCAAGTTTCCTTTATCACCTGTCTAAATTAATTTTCTCATAAGCCTCCACAACATCATGGGAGAGGTGCAGGGGGTCCCAGTCGGGGTGCAGAGGGTCCCAGTGGGGGTCTGGGGTTGGAGGGTCGCAGCAGACATCAGTGAGGGTCCTGGTGGGGATCCGCAGGGTCACAGCTCGTCAGATCCGATGGCAGCCCCGGAGGCAGCCCCGGTGGCAGCCCCGATGGCTGTCAGGGCAGCCTGCACGGCTGTGGGGACTCCTGCTGCCCCTGAGGAAGAGGAGAAGAAATCAGCCCAAGCTCCCCAGCCCGGCCCCAGCACCGACAAGGGCCCCCACTGCGCCCCATTGCCTGGGGGAGCTCCCCCGGGTGAAATGGCTTGGGGCTGCACTGGCTGAGAGCAAAGCTGTGAAACATCGTGCCCACTCCTTCTACTCCCCACTCACCGACCGACTGCAGCACGGACACAACGCTGCCGGCAGCCACTCCTCCACCGTTGGCTATGGCGGGGGGGCCCACCCACTCAGGCATGAC